CGGGGTACTCCATCACTCGCACAGGTTTCTCAGAGAGCAAGAACTACCATACAGAATAAAGCTGCCTTAAGAGAGTGGCAAAGAGACACAGAGGAGATTGGCCCTACATGACAGTCGAGTTGCAATTTCAAACCTGAAAGAGGTATTTTCAAGTGCTTGATGTAGAATCTATAGAATAGGTTGCTCTGTGCATCAGCTACACCCTCCTAAAAACCCCACGCAGCCCGTGATGAGACTATTAAAGACAATCACAACCCTGTGAACTTCCTTGCTTTGCCTCCCGTCTCCCTCAGCCACGTTTCATCCCCCCCGAGATGCCGGAGCAATAAAACCAGAGCCGTTTTACATGGGAAAAAAAGAAGAAAAGGGTGCCTGGCAACTTACTCTATCTGCTCGTGGCCCCTGCTCCAGAGCCACTTGCTGGGGGGATTGGGCAACGTTGCCGAGCACGGGCAGGGTGCTGGGATTCATGCCCTGGGCAGCAGCAGGCAAGAGCACGGTTACCTAAAATTATAGGCACTCGTTTTAGCACTGCGGCATTCCCGTCCACCGCTCACCCACGGGCAGGGCCCTGCATGCAAAGCTCCCTGGAATCCTCTACCAGGCCTCAAATGGGGCGTTTTAAGGGTGTTTCTAATAGGGATGACAGTTGGAAAAAATCAAGCCCTCCAAAATGAGGGGATTCCAACAATTATTTTCCCCCCCGTGTTATTTGGCTACATTGTACATTTTGGGTTCCGTTTTCCTGCTCATTTCCTGTGTCGTGCCATTAAAATTAATGAATACTACTACACCCATTAATTTACTGCTCCCATCTCTTCAGCTATCAACCAAAGCAAAATGCAGATGCCAGGAATTACCTTTCCTGCCCTTTGAGTTCTGTCTATCTACCCCAGGATCACTACTGATATCCCACATGCTTTTCCATCCTTTCCTGCGCTTAACATCATGAGGGCTGCAGCTTCTGCCTCTGCTTTTAGACTCAAGGAAAGCCCCTTCAGAGAGAGTTTGAGGAGTATAGAATAAGAGAGAGCCATGAAACGTGCTGCCAGACAGGCAGAAGGGAGAAATTCTCATTTTGGGGGGTAACAAAGCACAACCCTGATGCAGGCTGGGCGAGAGACAGCGCTGAGAGCAAACACCAGTCAGGACATTAGAGAGCAGTAACTCGGTCTGGTTCTTCACAAACCTGGCCAGGATCCTGCAAGCTCAAGGGGCAGACAGGAAAATCCAAAACACCAGCAGAAAGTTGGGATTTTGAATTCCTTTCAATCCCTTCTAACATTTACTTTAAAAAACACCTAGTTATGCCCTTGATATCAAACACATGAGCAGCAACTCCCCAATGTTGCTGCTATGTCAGCATGTCATGTGCACTGCATATATAACTACTCGGTTAATTGGATTGCATATTTATCAATCATACTTGTTGGCAAGCAGGGTTTAAAACACCTAAGAGGCACTGCTTGGCTTCTTTATAAAAGGAACTTGATCTGGAAGTAACAAAAAGCCAAACCTCCAAAGACATTCGGAGAATGTATTTTTAAGAGAGAACTGTATTATCAGTCAAATTGTTGCCTGCTCGTGCCTCAACAGTTTAGAAAGTCTCCTTTTAGCAGGCAAAAATCTTATAGTCAATGTATATTTAATGCATATTCATTCCTCCCCAAGCGTGCCAAAAAACAGGAATTTTAGGGAGTTTAGTAACAAACCGTATGTAAAATATCGATTCAAACACGAAGCCTGGCGACGTTGGGCCAGAATCCATAGGAGGACAACTGCAATCCTACCCCTTCCAGAAGGGCATTAGAATAAAGTTAGCCTCATTGCTTTAGCAAGTCATTTAAAAGGATGCCGTGGAAAGATTTCTCGTATAATTTGGGGCAGGAAGTTAGAAATTTTGTTGCGTATGAACTTAAATGTTTAGAGAGGCCGAGTTAACTGTTACTCATGCACAAGGTAGCCAAGGTAACACCGGCTCGCTGTCATAAACTTTTTTGCTCATCAGCACGTGAGTGACAGTCAAGGGTTGTCATTTGACAAGCTCAGAAGCAGCTTCTCTGTCCCTGCCAGCAAAACAAGGTCCCTCGACCTTCCGTGCCTGTTCCCTTGCAGTTTCAGGCCCGAGAGAAACAAGTCTCTTACCTGCTGGGTGGTGGCATCTTGCTGGACGTAAGCCACTTGGGACGGATCTGTAAACAGAGTCTAGACAAAGTGAAAAAGGCTTATCAAACCAGTGAAAAAGGCTTGCTTACTCCCAACTCGCACAAGAATTGCCCTGTCACCAAGAAATAATCTACATAGAAGTCATTTGTTTTGCTGTTGGGTTGCCTGTCAGCATAGCAGGTTCATTTAACTTACCCATGTGAGCCTACGTACCCCCAAAATAGAATAAGATTAGGGAGGATTCCATAAAAATACAGCATCATTTATAAGGTGTTTGTCATCTGCATAGAGAAAGAGCTTCAAATTTTTTTTTAATAGAAAATCACTGTGAATTGCACTTTAACAGGGTGAAATGCAGAAAATGCATGGAAGCTACTTGAGAGCAGGACAGAAGATAATTACTAACTTCATCTTTCTGCCTGTCCACAGCAGAGCTGCTTAGATAAAAAAAGCCTCAGGTATCAGATATGTCCTCCATGTGAATTTGTTATTGTCATTAAGTTGTTTTTCATTTTCCAAGAGATGACAGCTCCAATACTCTCCCAGCAGTCTGCAAGAGCAGCTCTCATTGAATTATCACAAGCACTTACAGAGCCTGGGAAGAATAAGACTCCAGGTCTTTTGGACAAGAAAAAATAATAGTCACAAGGCTTGGAGTAGCTTGGACAGTAACTTCTGCGGAAATGCAGTATTTCATAATATCTTACCCTCTCAGATCAGCCTAAAACATAAGAATGTCTTTTCTGGACTAGCCAAGAAGTGCACCACAGACACAGGCCATGGCACACGAGACGGCCAGGGTGGCTTCGAGTGTCACAGACACGCACTTGGTAGCACTACTCATCTGTCACATCACCAAAGAGACTATCAAACTTTCCTGACAAAACCTGCCTCCTCCTCACTTATCTATCCAGAGGGGTACGGATGCATACTGTTTAACACCCTAAACACAAGCTGCCGGAGACAAAAGCTATTTGATATTTAATATTATACAATTATTCAGAGGAAGAAAGGAGCGTAGACCTGTGAAATCACCACTTTCTCTGAATCAAGACTGCAAAATGAGATTAAATATGCTGGGATCCTCCGGAAATAACACACAGATTTATTGTTACTATTAACTATGAGAACAGCACTATGCATAACAAGGACTCTTCTTCCAAAAAAGACCATTGATGTCTGAATCAGCTTTTGACCGAGTCCAACAGAGGCAGGACTTGCAGAGAGATTATCAGTGTTTCTAAAAACACCTTTGATGTAATTACAATCTCGCCCACCTCCAGCAAAATAACCAGCATTTCATAATTTCTAGCCCAGCATCCTTTGATTGCCACATTTGCACATCAGACTGGAAGGAGCAGTGTGAAGTCCCTCGTCACCCACGGGCAGATCAAAGCGTCGCAAGCGCGGCCGCCAGCCCCTGGCCATTTGGGGAAGCTGGCTTGAGTTTGGCACAAGATCCCTGCTCTTTGGAGGTGCCAGGAAGGGGTGGGCTCGGAACCGCACGTGCCTGCGTAGCTTCCACGGGGTGGATGTAAACCAGCGTGTGCTCCGAGGTGTCCACGGAGGTGTAGGAGGTGCCATCTGCCGTGTAGACCACTTGCTGCGAGGGACGGTCCTGGTCATCGCTGTACACGATCTGGGCCACTGTCCCCCCCTCGGGGACAAAGTGCACCTGCAAGAACAGATCCTACGCTCACATTTCTGCACGTACACCCACGGGAAGCCACAGGCTGCAGGAGCATCTTGGAAGGAAGGAATAACATGTGTCCCAACTACCTATTGTTTAGGATACAACATAAAACTCATGGTGTAAATGATACTAAAAATCTCATCTAAATGATGCCAGACATAAAAACTACAAGCAGTTTCTCCCTTTTACTCTGCATTTTAACTCAAGACCTGGCTGCTCTAAAGAGCACCTTTGAATAGTGCTCAGCTTAAGTTGCTAACCACTGCAGCAAGCCCAGCTGCATGCAGGAAGAGGTGCAGAGCTCTGGAAGGCACTAGTCACCTGAGCAGAATTCTGCTCCTGCTCAGCAGAGTCAGCCCACACCTGAGGACTTTCCTCTTTGGAGTCCATCTCCTCCCTGCTCTCGTGCTCCATGAGAGGCCTCTACGGGAGGAACGTTTGGCTGAAGAGATTCATCTGTTCACGGCGCTTCTACTTCCAGAAGACAAGGTGATCTTCAGTAACATGGCTATAAAGAAAGAAGAGACCGAGATATTAAAGCAGAGAACAGCACAAGCAGCTTTGGTTGCAATTAAAAGGGGATGTGTGGTGTTATCAGCTACTTCACCCCCCAAAAAATCAAACAGCTTTATGTCTACTAGCAACTTTAGCCTTGTATCAAGCTGCAGCCCCAGTTGGTATTCAGCTAGCATTTCAGGAGATGACTTTTAGCAAAAGAACAATGAAACTTAAACCCTAATTGCTGCAAGCCTGAAGATCCTGACAAATTGCTTCCACGCTAGGTTTTATTCACCTCTTGCAATTTTATCGGAGCCCCTCAATCTGCCACGGGGAATCTCAGAAGTGTAATTTACAGCTCCGGTGATTGGTTTAGTCAGTGGTTCAGCACCTTCCCAGTCCTTCGTCTCTAATGTCATATTAAATCACAGGCCCAGGAATTAGCATGAGGCTGAGCCCATTTCATTTTTCAGCAAGTCCAATTAACTTGATTTTATACCGAGTGCCTCCCCAGCCTGCGCACCGGCAAGAAAGCAGAAGGCTCCTTGCTGACGCTTTCATTCATTTGCATTTCAAATGCAAATTATTTTAGCCATAATTTATTCCCATAAATGCTAGCAGTTGGCTTGTCACCGACAAGCTAAAAAAAGATAAGAAAGAAGCAGGCACTTTGTGCCTTCTGCTAATTTCCCCAGCAGCAAAGGAGCTTTGCAGACCTGAGCACTGACTGTACCACGGGTCTGAGCCAGAACTTATAAATCAATAATATGGAGACATCTCAGGATAACGTCACCGATCTGAACAGTGGGAAAAACTCATGATACTGTCACATATATTAAGGAAAACTTTGGGAAAGCATTTTCTGGGAGTTCTGGCTTTCTTATGCTGATCAACATGCTATGTATGTAGCACATGAGCTGCAAAAGGGGTGACTGATGAGCAGTGCGATGGCTGCTCTGCCCTCACGTTAGACTCTCAGCGCTAGATTTGGGGTAAAGGAACAAAAATGCTATTTCAATAACTCTCTCTGGTTATTATATATGCTGTTACATATGCACTCTGTTATTTATCTCTTTACAGCTATGCTCCCTATAGCTATTATTATACATTATCATATACAGAAGCTCTGAAGTGCAGGAGAGAAAAGGGAGATAATTTACAACGCTGCATCTTTCTGCAACATTTTAGCTAGTGGATCTCATTAGTGAGGAGAAAGGAACAATGTTTTGGAACTGATAAACACTTCACACCTGCTCTCCAGGTGTTCAAAACTAGGGTCCACACCAGACATAGGCACATATAAATATATATATAACATGCATGCCATATAGTACCTTTCATCCCGCTAGCTCAAAACCACTTGTTACAGCATTGAGGATTAATTCAGGCATTTCCTCATATTTAATCCTGCAGAAAACTGTCCATCTTATTCGTCCCTGTTGTTGTTATTAACCAAGAGCCCATTCGGGTAATTGGGATACAAAAGCCAGTAGTTTAATCCATTAACCCAGACCTAATTGCTGAGAACAATGAAAATAAGCGCTAGAGGTTGCAATGATTTGGGGGTTTAATATAATCACCCGGTTAGTACAAAATTCAATTACCAGCTGATTTAATTGTGTAGGAGAACGGCACCGTTATGGCCAACTCCACACAGTGCAACAGGTAGCAGGATTTTTGGCCGACTTTCCCAACAAACAGCTATTTGTTCGCGGTCTGAAGATGCTGACTCCCTCCTGCTGACTCATTTTGGCACCGCTAAGCCTGATACCTTGAGGAGGAATGAGACTCCAGAGGACTTGAAGAGATTCGGAGTCGCAGCACGGTCACGATACCGTGGGCAGGTAGGGCATGGAGCCCCTGGAGGTCTCTGCACCCCCAAATCCAGCTGCCTGCCTCAGCAGATGCTGCTCTGCAGGCAAACCAAACCCCTCGAGCCAAAACAGGTTCCTGATTCACACAGTTCACATTTACCTTCCTCTCCTTAACATGCTCTGGGGACTTGCTGGTATCCAAGACCTCGGATTTCAGTTCTTGCCTTTTAAATTTGATCCTAAAGATCTCATTAATGGGGATGCTTTTTTGGAGCCACCATTGTCTGAAGAGCTTTTTGTGTCAGTCTCAGCAGTTCATCACTTTGGAAACCTCCCTTGATCTCTCCAATCCTCCGACCTCGGATTTCAGTTCTTGCCTTTTACATTTGATCCCAAAAATCTCATTAATGGAGATGCTTTTTTGCAGCCACCAGTGTCTGAAGAGCTTTTTGTGTCACAGTCTGAGCAGTTCATCGCTTTGCAAACCTCCCTTGATCTCTCCAATCCTCTAACTCCTGAGGGCACAGCTGGGGTGGGAGCAAATGGGGCTTGAAGGGAAGACCTGGAGTAACAGTGGAGCCAGTGCTGGTTTTCTCTTGGTATGCAAGGATGAGATGATACTCCAGCCCAGCAAAACCACACGGTGCTTCACTGGAAAACTGATCTTGGAAATTCAGAAAGAGCCATCACCCAAAAAGAGCAAAAATGCAAAAAGGCAAGAAGCTAGAGACCAGAACTCTGGGGACTTCATCTGCAGCAACTTCTCTAGTCTAATTAAGGACATTCTGCTGAGAAAGCATCACCCAGGGCCTGTCAAACATCCACTCTTGGCCCTTCTCTGACACAAGAATAAGAGAACTTGAAGCAAGGGCCACTTCCCTGCTCGGGGAGCCATAAAGCCACTGCAGCATCTCAAATGAGAACCCACTTTACAATAATGGTGCATAAAAACAGCTTAATGTGATTTATTCCCCGGTGTAAAAGGGCCTTGCCTATAGAGGGGGGTTCCCTGCAGCAATAACAGCCGCTGTTATTAGCTTAATCCTTTAAGCACCGAGCTCACTGACCACCCTTCTGCGGCGCGAGCCATACGCAAGGACAGCACGATTGCTGCAAAAAGAGGTTTTATGGCTACGGGTCTTCCTGCAGCTTTTAGCACTGATTTATTATGCTCAGAAGCAGCAGCACATGTGTCTGCTAAAGCCATATCCCACACTTAAGTTAATTACCTCGGCTTGCCTAGAAGGCAGAGCGGCTGCATTTCCTGCGATCCTTTGGCAAGGACTCGCGGTGGGTGCAGCAAGGAGGCCGGGTTTGTAACCTCACTGCCACGGCGGTGTCTTTTCCTCCGCGTCCGCGTTCATCAAAAGCGGTTATTGCCTCAAGGAACTCCAGCTCCCGGGCGTTTCGGCCGAACGTTGGGTATCGGGTAATATATGCCCACAATATTTACGTTCTCCTGGCGAGTTGGAGATGGGGAGCGTGCGCAGGACAGCAAAGACAATTTCCACAAAAGGAAACATGAGTGCAATTTATTTAATCATATAATGAACAGAATAACTCGGCCAAACACGAACTCGCTCTTTACTCAAATTGCCTGCAAGAAATCGATCTTTCTACATCCTCATATTGCATCCATCATCAAAGCAATAAGGAGCTGGAAGAGACCTCTTCCATCTCCAAGGCTCATTGTGTGCTACTGTGTCATATAACCTATGGATTATACCTATAGAAACGCAATAAAGCGGAAAACATGGAAAACAAACACATTTTCAGAATGCAACATGAATAAAAAGAGAAAATCGAGGTCTTTATCAACGCAGGTGCTACACTGCTGCCTATAAAGCTCTCAAGAACGTGTTAAAAGAAAATAAAAATATAAAAATGATATACATTTAATAAAAAAATATTGCTTTGAGCTCCTACAATTCAGAAGAAAAACATCGTCTTATTTCTGCAGATAAACCTGCATCTTTCTCAACAGTCCCTTAAAATGCTGCACGCAAGGGGAACCAGCGAGGCAGCTGCATCTTCAAACGACTTCTATTTCTGTGTTTCACTAACACAAAAATAAGAGGGTCAAATAGGTCTGACCTCATGTTTAAGCCAAAACAAAAATAAAATTAAGAGAGCCTCCGCAATGAGCTACATTTAAGTCAATTAACACTCAGTTTACACAGCTGAGGGCAGCTGCAGGAGGCCAGAAACAGCTTCCCAAGTAGCTGCTAACAAAGTAGCACAAATTAACACGAGGAGCTCGTCAAGGGCTGCTCCTCGCACCCTTGGTAGGAAGGGTGTCCGAGGACAGCAAGGGACAACACCTTCCAATTTCTCCTCACAAACAAGTTATCAGTATTCCACGGACAGCAACAATAACTACAGCATCAATATCCCGCCCTATAGCAAGGGTAATAAAATTGCATTTTTAAACATCGGACACAAAAGAAGCACATGCAAGCCTCCCCAGAGCAGCACAAGCCAACAGGTAAATTGGCCACTTTAGGGCAGAGTTTGGAAATACACCTTCTTATATTTTGCTCCCACAAAAGACTCAGGAAGAGATCTCTTAAAAATCATTTCATCTTGTAGTTTAACTAGTGAAGACAGAGAGGAAAAATAAGTTAAACCACTATAAAAATTTAAAAAGCAAGAGCTGCTCACTGTAGGCTTTTAATTCCCATCAAAACAGTGGAAGAGAAAAAATTGGCAGGCATTTTATAGCACTATCCGGTCTTATACTTGCTCATCCTTTAAAAGCCTGCAAGAACGATGTATATATTAGTCATACACCAGACAAGCCAGTGTATGTATTTTTAATGTATTACAATTTAAAGCCTACTTTTTCCCCTCTTCTAAGGCAAGCACCACATCAAGACACAGGTGAGGAAGCCGTAGAGGCAGCAAAACCCAAAGCTTTGCTTCTAGAAACTGCCATTTCTGCCAGCACGTGGCCTTGGGCCTCTCCTCACGAGGCTTGAGGGAGGCACGAGACAACCCCCCTCGGGGCAGCCCCTGCTTGAGCCTTCCCCCCTGGGGCACCCCAGGGACCCCCAAAAGGGCCATTTTCACACGCGGCCGCAGCCC